ACCGCTGGGCTAGAGTCAGAATGTATAACAATACGTGCGGCTGGCGTCTATCGACGATATGTTCCCCTGATGCAGAAGCTTATGACATCCGACGTCATCAGTTGGAGAATATTAATTGACCATCCGCGTATTTCTTATATATACTGAACTTTAAACCATCTGTACTGATTCGAATTTATGTTTATAATAAATATTAATTGTATCTTTTAAATGTCATGAGCAATTTCAATGAAACCTCGAACGGTTATTTAATGTAGGCCAACTAATATAATAGCATACAGAATTTTTAAATCGTACTTGGTTTCAGAAATATTTTTATTAATTTTATCCTTTGAAAGCGATGAGCAATTTCGAAGAATGGTCATTGGACCAATTTTTCAACTCAAAGTCTAGGTCATCAATTAAGCTTATATTGTAAGTTTTAATATATACTTAGAAAAGTGCCTACCTTTTTTCATAATTAATCTAAAACAAAAAGTATTGTAAAATTGAATTGTACTTACTTGTATTTCCATCTATCACAACTCATATATTGATAAAATCACATATATTTTATAGATACCAGTTTACAAAACGCAAGTGCTTTCAAAGGAAATTACAAGAATAAACACAAAATGAAGGATTAAGAAGGATATTCTATAAGGAAATACCAACAGTCTCCAGTTTCCAATCTACAAGATCAGGTGTTTAAACACAATATTATGAACAAAAAAGGCATCATAGCATCCAATTCCATCATCAATAATCAGATGACAGGTCGCGTCATATCTACTTCGACCACACACAAAACTTACAGGTTCAAAAACACTTATATTTCTCGTTTAATTTTAATTACTTTACTTTAAGACCAGCAATGAAACATTACTTATATGTATAATTATTATTATTTACACAACTTCAAAAAAAGAAGGATAAACTATCGTAAAATAAATGTAAACCTAGAAACTTAAACTTGAATTGACTTTCAGTAATACTGAAAACTGGCGGATGATCGCTCACGGGTCCTTTCATCGAACTGGTTACAAGACAAATATATAAGCTACATATATTTATTTTACTTTCAGTTAGGGAAACGAAATACCCGGTCGAGATTTGATAACGGAACCCGATCGCAGGACCACCGTCAGCGTTGTTTTTTTGGCATACAATTTACGCGTATTTATAATACTTTTAATATACATTACACACACACATATATATACCATTATGTACACATAGCTTCGGAAAATACATACATTTATAAATAATGTAAAATGTGTTGTTTCTTATGTCTTTTTTAAAATTTGTATATAATATATTTTTGAACGTGTAAGCAAAATGTTGTTTTTGTTGTAGTAGTTGTTGTTATGGATGTTTCTTTGTTATGTATGAGGGTCCTGTTTGGTCGCTGTGAGTTCCGCCAAGAATTAATTAATTAATTAAAGACGAAATAACCAGTGCAATATGAAATGTACAAATTCGGATAACAAATTAGGTTTTCGAGTGTAAACAAATAATAATAGAAAACGTGGTAAATTCAACCAACGTGAAAAGAGCAGCAACTGTCTATTATTATGAATAAATAAATATATTAAATTTAATTTGTCATTGGTAACAATAAACAAAATAAACTCTGCGATAAATTGTTAGTGTATATCCTTGAAACCATCAAATTAATAATCACGTCAAGTTTTTCTTTGGTATCAGCTATTCTGTTGTTACTGCTTTTTTCTCTTATTGGATGATATTTAACATGAAAGTAATTGCAATCTATGAAATATCACGGAGGCACGCATGTACTATGTAATTTGGACCAAAGGACGCGAACCTCCGAGACAATTTTCTAATAACTAGACTAATTCGTTATTATGAAATCAATAAAATTTAAAACTATACATCTACCTCTAATATATACACACTCGCACTCAAAACTTAATAATTATTAAATATGTCTTTGTTTTTTTTTTAAGTACATAACTATTAGTTGTATATCACAGGAGCAAACAGGAAGATGAAGGGACTAAATCTATCGACTTTCAAGTGAAGTCGACGTTGGACGAATCCTAAAGATGAGAGTTAGAGATTGTTGCTGAAATAAATGGAGTAGCTTTGCGACAGACACACAGAGACAAAGAGGCCATCGCGCGAGATTTGTATCGTTTGCTATTAAGTGCAAGTCTTTTTTAATCTTTCTTCTTTGGTTTCGCTAGAGGCACAGATAATTGACTCAACTAATGTTTATATATTTTTTTTCTTTTTTTTGTAGTTTTATACGACAATTTTTTTGTTCATTTATATATTATTATAATCAATCAAATATATATTATTTTTATGTATATACGAGGATGCACATATTGCAAGAGCACTACTAACATAATTTAAAAATAAAGTTAAACGAAAAGAAAAAACACACAGGAACGTTGCGTTTACCTTTTGACTGCATTTTCTCTCTAGTGTAAATAGTTACCATATATAAAATTAAAAAAAAATAAAGGACTCCTAAAAATTCGAGAACAGAAACGAGTATTGCACTATAAAAGTTAATATACTAAAATGATAATCAACTTTTCTATCATATAGGTAGAAAAGATTGGAGAAGGCTCTGTCACACTTCATCATATTATGTTATATATTTTTTTTTACTATTTTCTTGCTGTTAGTGTTATTTTTTGTCCCTGTCTCAATTCGCTTAACAACAGAATTAATTTCTCTTTACATTTATAATGTCAAATATCAACTAATGAACAGAATTACTAAAATTTACGAAGTAATCAATAAAATATTCCTTTGACTAATATTTAATAATATAATATTTATACTAGAAACACATATGCAGTAATCAGATCGATTCGATTCAAGAAATATCACCTTCAACAACATCACCACCATCAAGTAATAAAAAATCAATCGCAGCTTTCCGGTTTTTCGTTTCTCTTTTGTTTCGTTTTTTATTTTGGTCCTCGCGTATTTTTCTAATTCCCCGCATCGAATAGCATCAATTACTGCACACACATACACAACAGAGACAAATAGTAATAATAATAATAATAATGAACGATTAGCACTAGAAACACTAAAAGTACGAAGTTTTGTTTAATACTATGTGATATGATTACATCCTAACTAACTGTCTTTTATAAATCAACGCGCAACGAGGCACAGGTTGCATACTGCAACAAATCCATCATTATGATCATCATCAATGATTAATTATTTATCTTTTTCTTTCAACTTCTCTCCACCATCCTCATTATTGCACAATATGTCTTATGGCATTATTATCAATATAATCATTATTATTACGCACATATACACATATAGAAAGTACACGCTACCTAATTTATTGACATCGAGTTACAACTTGCGTCTCAATCTAATATCTGAAAAGAAATAGAGGAATTCTGCTCCAAAGCCCTACTCCGTTAACCCAGTATCTAAGTTAGTTTGTTATTATTACATATCCTTTTTAGGTTTTTCTTTTGTATTTGTTTTTGTTTATTTAGGTACACCGTAGATTTCTACTAAATTAAGACGCAAGCGCCAGGAAGACATTCAACTAAAGTGACATTATACAGAGTTTACTATATCATGCTATTATTTATATAATTATTATTCGCATGTTTTCATATATATATCGTATATACATATTTTCTAATAGTACTGTTTGCTTATTTGAAATAAGAGTGAAGATTATTTTAGTAATATTTTTTAGCATTTCCAAAAAGCATCTACGTCTAAAAATCAGATTATTTCCAAAAAGCTTTGTTAATGCGAAAAAGAATGCCTTCTTCCTTAGAGCCAACTAATAATTGCTCGACAATTTGAGCATATATAAAAACTAAAAAAAACGTTAATCCTCGATCGTCGCCTCCTTCGATTCATCAAATATAATTTCTTTAGTTATTTACAATGGATGTGATATGTTTCTTAAAATATGTTGTAGTATTTGATGTTGCATATATTATCGGGTTTAGTCATATGTACAGAAGAATCATTGACTTCTTATTTAAATTATGTAGCACTAATTTGACACATTTTATCTTTTTTTACATATTTTTGGTAGCGTGCTTTTTACTTATTGGATTCAGCTTTCAGATTTGAAATGTTTCTCCTTGACATTTTTTTTTATAAATATATACACTCGCGTGCCACCATTCCAAATTGTTCATACTTTTGTATAAATAAAAATGATAATAGAAAAATACATATTATGAAAATTCTGTATATACTCAAACCGTATATATATATAACTATATATATCATCTTCTCATTAAACCATCTCCCGGTTAATTTAATTAATTAATTGTCTCGAAAATAACTTTTTGTTTCAAAATATTTAGTAATTAAGGGTCCTCGGAGTTTCCATATACACATATACATTATTATAATATTTGTTTGTGTGATGAAAAATAAATGAAGAAAATGACCAAAAAATTGAAATAAGTTACTTTTCTCAATATAAAAATATTTCAAGCCTAAAGCGGAAAACAATAATCTCATTCCATCTTTTCGTCGCCTACGCAAACGAACGTACCTTACTAACGTAATAATGATTATTAGAAAGAAATATCTATCTTCATTTTTTTTTAAATAAATATTAACCTAAGCCTAGACTCGTTGCAATATTAAAATGTCATAAAACATATTTATTTTCATTAAACTTTCGTTTCTCTTCCTCTTGTATAATATATTATTTTCTCTTTGAGTTAATTTAATTTTATCGATATGTACTTTAGTAATGTCGCATATACTCGTAATTCCTGGGGAATCTGCGAGAAGTCTAAAAAAAATAGAAAACATCTCTCGTCGACACAAAACTACATATAAACCAACCCAGTGGAATTATTAGTTTATCTTTTTATAAAAGAGAAATAATTGTTTTCATTTGTTTTCTGAAACACGACGAAACGAAATTTCTTAGTGGCTATGATACACAAAAAAAACTTAACGAAGAACAAATAATAATTAATTAATCAAGGACAAACTAAAAGTAATAAAAATAATAATGAACTAATAGTAAACATGATGCAGAGGTATCTTATACCATTTTTTTTTCATATATAAATTAATTAAAGGTTGTGATGAATGTGTAGTATGTGATTTGAGGATATGTATTATTGGATTTTCATTTTCAAAAAGTAATCATCCCTTTGTTTTTCGTGTTTGTTATGTTTTACTGATCTTGCTCCATGCGTCTATCCGTTGCACCATTCGTATTGTTTTCCCCGTTGCGGATGGACATGCTGCGCGATGATGAGAAGCACAGCTTCATGATAAAAGGGAATTTTGTACCTGCAAATGAAAAAAATGAAGTTTCTAATATAATTGATCCATATTGGAATATGTTGTACATACCAGGATTCTCGATGGCCGCGTGATTGCAGGCCATAACCGCTGCAACTGCTTCCGTGGTATTTTCGAACTCAAGTAGTCCCGAACTGGATCTTTCAGATTTCATCGGGAACAGCTTTACTGCCTTTGGCGGCACCACATCGTAATCTCTGAATACCTGCACCAGCTCTTCCTCAGTTACATGTGGAGGTGTGTTAAAGAAATGGAGAATCTGGGAGATTGATCAAATGTACAGCAATTACTTAGTAATATGAATTGGATCATGATTTTATGATGCTTACCTTGCTTGGTGGTTGTATGCGATTTTTGCTAGCCATCGCGGGATTCATAAAACGGTTGTTCTTATTGGAAATGTACTCCTTATAAGATGGCGATTTGTCTGGTAGTGGATAGGGGTTGGTCACTTCACTGAGGTACGGTTGTTTGCTGAAAGCCAGTTGCAGCTTGTGCTCATGTTGACTTCCATTCTTTTCCTCGTGATTCGAATTATTATGACATACCGGCGCGGCACCCGTTAGTCCCACATTCACGTTATTCAAATATTGGACACATCTCTCAACCGCAACGCTGTCACCCATTTGCACCATTGCTGTACCCTCTTTTGACTTCAAAAACTTTATCTACAATTTTGTTACAAAATATTTTATTATAAAACAGAAATATAATAAAACTGTAAATAATCGGGTAAGTCTTGATTTTTTGTCCATCACGTTAAAAAAAACTGATAATGTTTATGATCATAGAAAAATTGTTGACAATAAATAAAAAAATACTTACTCTGGCCACGTTTCCATATAGACACATGAGGTTGAATAGTTTGTCGGCGTTGGTGCGTAAAGGATCCAGGCCGTATACCATAAGAACGGCGGCCTGCGGGAAATTGCGCTGGTCTCGGTATTCGGTAGCAACGGGGGCAACGACGGTGGCTCCCTGCTTGCGGTACCCGCCGTCCCCGCCAAACGGCTCCCCGTACCCGGGGCCACCCGTGCCTCCCCCGCACATATCCTCGTATCGTTGTGGGTCATTCGGGTACGGCGCTACAAGAACAGTAGACAGAAAGAGAAAATTTATAAAAGAACGTTTCCATGACGGTGCCCTGACGGTTCAAAAATAAAAATATTATTAAAAAGTCATAAGATTTACAGGAGGAAGATGTATTGGGAGCATGATATCTTTCACTATGCTAATTCGAATTAATAAAACTCAGTGGGACGGACGAATGCGATTCCGCTTCTTTTCACACGGCGTCCGCCACGTGGATATTGTTTCACATTTCTTCAGACGAGTATCGTAAATTGCATGCAAAGATTACAGAAGAAAAGGGACTGATGAAATCCTACATAAAAAAAACGTTGAAAATTAGAAGAATAACAAAACTGTCCTGCCGACAGTGTTTTATTTTACCAATAATAATAATTTACTCGGATAATCGTACTTTATGTAACGCGTTGAAAAAAGCAAATACTGAGAAAATCAATATCAATAATTTAAAACTTATAGAAATTAATAAATTTAAGCACCAAGAGTAAAACATATACCTACTCTATCTTGAATTATTGGTTATAGCAGTAATTCACAAAGTGGGGACGCCAATAATATTTGGAGGTCGCAGAAAATTTCATCATATTTAATGGAATTCATGTTATATTGCAAGTCAATCGCAAACTATTTTTACTTCTTTTCTATCTTTCACCTAATATAGATTATTAAAGAACTTAATTAAGTTATGTTATTGTTTAAAAGATATATAATTTTACAGCTAGATAGCGATCACTGTATTTATTAAATCATTATATCATCAAATAAAGAAGAATATACTATTTTAATTAAATTCTGATGTTAATCATTTTTGCTCTAAGAAGATCTGAAAGTGTTACACGTTTTCATTCGCTAATTTATTAGGGTTAGTCAAATATAATTAACAGATTACGACAATGAATCAACGGTGGATTCTTGGAAACTTAGCCCCGAATGAAAATGGATGAAGATCCCAGGCTATCATAGGGAAGAATTAATCAAATTTACCCTATATATAAAAATGCTATCTCTTTTGGATTTAGTTTCCGAAGTCCCGAGCCGATCTATTGCGAAAATTCGCCACACAGCGAAAGGCCATCAATTTCTTCACGGCTTATTTCCCACTTGGACTAAGAAAAACTGTTTAAATATAGAATGAATACGCTCCCTGCTTGCAAATATGTCCAGCAAGGACCAATAAAATAACCGCCTGTTAAATAGGTCTACCATTAACATTTATGCTAACTTCAAGTCAAGTCCCAACGACTTCATGAAAAGTGAATCTCGTTGTGAGTAACTACTATTTTTTGGCAAAGCAACCAGTCATTTAATGTCAGGTGCAGTTTTAGAGTAAAATAAATGACGTGTTTCGTTGGTAAACGAGGTAAATGTTGGACCAACACCGACTTATGATTACTCACCGAGTACAAATATACGTGCAAAGAAAAATCGTATTATTATATATATACATATTTTCTAAGAATCATATAGATCTGTAAAATATTCCTTTTCTTCGAAAGTATACATCTATATGCTGTTAGTATTTCATATAATTTGTGATGAAAACAAGTTTTACTTTAGTTTTCATAGTCGTAATTCTGTAAAACATTTATTAAGAAACCAAATACATCATGAACGAAAGATTACGAAATTTTGACGGCTGCCGTATGTATCTTATCATAAAAAAATATAATGTATATAAATAAAGAACAATCTCAGTTTTTAGTAGGATTTTGTATTTTCCAAAAACAAGTAGATGCAAGTAATGCTCTCCTTCATTGTTTTGCAAATGTGACAATGTAGCACGGCTAGACCGACCATAATCGCGATGATTAATACCAAGAGGCCGATCACCAAGGTACGTATGAAAGCCATTAATTGGACACTTTAGTATTCGCCTGCATAGACTAAAACAGCAATTAAAACAAGCTTAATTGAGATTATTTTTACAATTGGAATTTGTACAAATATTTAATAGACTAAGGACACACTGTTTAGCATATTTCACGACAATCCCGAGAAGTGATAAAAGGAAAGGCCGCCCTTGGTCATTGATGAATTTTTGTCATGTAAAATATATTTGGAAATGTGAGACTGTGACGTCATTACTTCAGCTATATGGAGTTCTATTTGTCCACGCAGTCAAGCTCTCCAAAATAGTATTTTCCATTACTTCCCGGGAAACAAGAATAACCCTGTACTACTAATACTTAGCCCAGAGGTTCCCATACTTTTTTGCTTCGTAGACCCCTTGCCATGTTTTTCGGTTTTGGGTAGACCCCCTACTTACTTGATATTGATTTTTTGTAAATTTATTATTCATATTCATTTATAATTATTAAGATCTTTGCTCTGAGACTGCGCGTATGCTTGTAACAAGATGATACTGGTATATCATTATGTGCAGGTTTTTACAAGTTCAAAATGTATTGCGACCACAAAGCGAATGCCTACATCCTACAACTTACACAATTTTATAAACATATATAATATTTTTTTTTACTTCATAGGTACTTTTATAAATAATGTATATGTCTTTATATTATAAGATAGTATAATGTAAGTAAATAGGTACTATCAGTTCATAGGTACTTTTATAAATAATGTATATGTCTTTTATTATAAGATAGTATAATGTAAGTAAATAGGTACTATCAGTGTATGTTGAGATCCACTATCGTGGACCTCCATTTTCATTTTATGGACCCTCAATTTTTTTTTTCGCTGACGTAGTCCACTTTCAGGTTGTCATAGACCCCTGAGGGTCGATATAGACCACTTTGGGAATCACTGACTTAGACTATTCGATTTTCATAAGAAAGTTTTCAGTATATTCAGAATATTAACAATATTTTGGAAATTAAGAAAATATTGAACATTAAACAAACTTGGTAAATCATACATACAATACATACATGTTAGTATAACATAAATACTTTATACAAATTACATTTGGTAACTATATTGATAACCCAGTGTGTACAATTGAAAGCAGCAAAAGGTTATCCAATTACCAATTTAATGGACAATCATTAGCTGATGAAACAAAACGTATTTCCGCTTTGTTTCGTAGTTATCTAATGACGATCTTCATTATTATATAATTTAACTCTTTGAGGGGCGGTGGTACACGCAATCTACTACTTTTTAAACATGCCAAGTGGGACATTATTATATTTTTTCAGAAAATGTACGAAAAAGAGGAATTACCTTTTAATTTGTTTGATATGTCAAGGGATGAATTTTAATAGTCCATACCATAAGATGTTAACGAAGTCTATAAATTTGTGAATCTTATGCAATTCTTCAAAATTCATAATGTTGTCTGCTAAATATTTATTATTTATCTTTTTTATATTTGGAGCAGAATAATGTGAATATAATTTGATATGGGAGCAAACGGTGACAGACTTTTTTTTATCACATTTATTATACGAATGTAGGGCATAATATGAACAACAAGGAAATAATAATATCATGAAATACATATTGGAGATTTGTCATGAATTTCATTTTATAAGTCTGAATTTTAGTACAGATCGCCCGTTGGGTATTAACTAATGAATGTGGCTAAAATAAAAAAAAAATATTTAAATTTCTTTTAAAATACATTAAAATGAAGTTGCTTATAAATTTTTATAAAATATTAAAATATTTTGTACTCTTTGGTAAAGTCAGGTAATTTTAAACTTAAATCGTATAATAAGTGAATAATAATGATTTAGATTACAAAAACGGATCAATTTTTATATGGTATTCTGCTATACAATTTTTCTTTTCATTACAACATAAAAATAATCTATACAAAAGTAACAAGTATTACTAAACACTCGCTTGGTGTTTCGAATTGCAAAACAAATCATTTTGTATACAATATAAAAATTACATTAAAGTACCAACAAGTATTTAGATCTGTTTCACGTGTCTTTATAATTTAAACAATGGCATAAATGTGCCGATACTTATAATTACCATAAAGCAGCAAAGAGTTAATATTTGCGAGACCTTTGACAAACATAACGTTTGCAACTAATAACAAATCTAGCAACTGGAATCGAGACATAGAAGATATTAATAATCTTATAGAGAATAATACTGTTTATTATCATAAAAACTCCAACTTCACCTCTAGCATTCCTTAAAAACTTCACTAGGACTCCACAACGACATAACTACGAAATATACCACAGTGTCCAGAGATATTTGAATCCCGGGACACGACAGTACTTGCAAACGCTTAACAGGCTAATCCGTCGGTATGGTTTCTAAGTTTATTGGAATCGTATTGGAATTACGCCACTCTTTTGCGGTTGTAACATTGATAAATATCACATTCATCAACAGAAATTCCTATAAAAACCTAAATATTAAACTATATATAATTTGAGCACCTGTATCCTCAGTCCATATACAGGTGGATACAACGTAGGTGTCAAAATTTAGAAACGACGGTCGAACTGATTTCAATGACGTATGTCTAATGACGAAAACAATTTTCGAAGGAATTCCGCGACTAATTTTATGAGCCATAAAACGGCTATGGCTATGACTGTCTAGCCAATTAAACACTATTATACGACACCTATCGTCTATTTAAACTATAATTAAGAAACGAAAATGCACGCACACGTCGCGCACATGATTTCCTCCAGGAAGTCTAATATGAAAATAATATGTAATTATAGTAGTCTATTTCAAGTAGCGTTTCGCACATGTTTCTCAAAGGAACATCCTTTGTCTATTGTCAGTAATATCAATTACATACTCGATTCTCAAAATAGTTCGCATGTTTGAGGACAACAAAACCAGTAAACTGCATGTAACACTCCATATGCATATTATTTTTTAGGTCCCATCAAACATATATGAATATATCATATTACAATTTCAAATATTTATATTCAAACATAAACTATTATTTGTGATTGTAACCTATGGTAAAAGAATTAAATATTTTATCAAATGTTGATTCGTCTGTAATTTGATTTAAATTTAAAACCAATAGCATTAACTATTTAATATTTGAAAT